ATGAACAAGCAGCCTATCGCTGAGATAGCTCCCGCTGTTAGCAATGCACATTACAATTAAAGAACTGAAGACATCATCAGAAAATGAACAATATGTATAGTATCAAAGCAATCAGACTTACAGTTTTTAACAAGAAGTCGAAAATATCACTTTTTACCAAAAAATTACAAAAATATTCACCAAAATAAATTAATTAGAGAATTGAAGATATCATCACAAAACGAACAAATCTGAGAGAGGTCCACATGTAGTACCTATATATGTAATATCAAAGCAATCGGACTTACAGTTTTCAACAAGAAGTCGAAAATATCACTTTTTACCAAAAATGACAAAAATATTCACCAAAATTAGAGAACTGAAGATATCATCACAAAATGAACAAATCTGAGAAAGGTCTACATGTAGTATCTATATATGTAATATCAAAGAAATTGAACTATTGGTTTTTAATAAGAAGTCGAAAATATCACTTTTTACCAAAAATGACAAAAATATTCACCAAAATTAGAGAATTGAAGATATCATCACAAAATAAACAAATCTGAGAGAGGTCCACATGTAGTACCTATATATGTAATATCAAAGCAATCGGACTTGCGGTTTTTAACAAGAAGTCGAAAATATCACTTTTTACCAAAAATGACAAAAATATTCACCAAAATTAGAGAATTGAAGATATCATCACGAAATGAACAAATCTGAGAGAGGTCCACATGTAGTATCTATATATGTAGTATCAAAGCAATTGGACTTGCGGTTTTTAACAAGAAGTCGAAAATATCACTTTTTACCAAAAATGACAAAAATATTCACCAAAATTAGAGAATTAAAGATATTACAAAATGAACAAATCTGAAAGAGGTCCACATGTAGTACCTATATATGTATTATCAAGGCATTTGCACTTGCGGTTTTTAACAAGAAGTCGAAAATATCACTTTTTACCAAAAATGACAAAAATATTCACCAAAATTAGAGAATTGAAGATATCAACATGAAATGAACAAACCTAAGAGAGGTCTACCCAAGGTACATATACACCAAGTATCAAAGCATTCAGGCTTGTAGTTTTCAAGAAGAAGACGAATTAAAGCCGCAAGCGGCGTCACCGGGGCCCAAGCTGATAAGATTCTATTTCATAATTAATGAGGTCACATGTTAGACAATCAGCTGCAGGTAGATTGTATTATCAGTAACATGAGGTCGAAATGAAGTTGGTACCATGTATTTACCTGGTTTGGTTATCGAAATATGGTTTTCAGGATATATAATGAGCCATGTTCTTATGCACAATAATGAGATTACATAATCATATATAGCCATTTCTAATGTCAGTTACATCTTTCATTCAATGTCTTCATAATGACACTACTTACATGTCCTGCTCTGCGATAGTGTTTCAGATATGACTGCTATGTATATTAATGAGTTCACATGACCATATATGGTCATCTGTTATTTTTAAACAAATCTCTTGTTCACTGTTGTCATAATAACACAAGATTCATCTTCCTAACTGCGACAGTGTTTTAGATATGACTGCTATGCATATTAATGAGTTCACATGACCATATATGGTCATCTGTTATTTTTAAACAAATCTCTTGTTCACTGTTGTCATAATAACACAAGATTCATCTTCCTAACTGCGACAGTGTTTTAGATATGACTGCTATGCATATTAATGAGTTCACATGACCATATATGGTTATCTGTTATTTTAATCAAATCTCT